ATAGAAACAGGGAGTTGGAAAAGAATCCAGATTCTTATAAATAAGAGAACCATAAAAAATTTAGAAACCTTCTAGTCCAAACTTCTTAGCTACATATACTGAAGCTTACTTTTCCATATGCTTAATGGTCACAGGGAAAAGCCTGTTTGAGAATATGCTTTACTTCTTAGAGGTCAGAAAAGTTTTAAACAGTTAATAAACTACATAGATATAAATTTCCAAATTTTGCTTTTTGGGGAAATTTGTGGTGGTAGACACCAAGACATTAGGCAAATGGAAAGCATAAAAAGAATATTATTTGAAATTAATTACGGTGAAACATCTCCTAGAGATCTATACTATGGAATTCTCCCAGAATGATTCAAAAAACACTGTTAATATCCAAAAAACACAAAGATAGAGTTGAGTAAATACCCTATAGATCTTCTCTCATTGAAAGTGCATTGTCTGTGCAAATTCCTCTTAAAACTACCTATTTAAACACATTGATATCTAAAAAGTATGCAATTTAATGAAGAGAATACATAAATTACTATATATCAAAAACTAATATACAAACACATTTCCTCTCCTGCCTGTGAAAAGAAGAGTGTCAACTTAATGACCTCAAAGATCAAATTCTGACCAGCGCTATAGGATTGACACCCAAGTTATTGACATCAGCATATTTCTTAGGAGAATCCCCAAATGTTTCAAGAAGCAGCAATTATAATTGGCATCCCAGAGGAAAATACCCTTAAAGGGAGAAATACTAATTGGTAGCACTATACTTTCTCAAATCAAGATAACTTTTAATTAATATTTTATATTTCACTGGAGTTCAAACCAATTGTCTTCAATGAGTACAGGGCAATACTTTAGACATTACTAAAGGCAACTTTAAAATACCCTGATGCACAACTTCCCATGAAACTAAATTCAGGTAATTACTTTCATCATTTCAAGATCTCTAACATATTTCCTACATTGTTTGCCCTTTAGGAAATTCACACAAGGGTCTGGCCCTGTGGCACAGTGGTTAAGTTTGGTATGCTCTACTTTGGTGTCCTGGCTTCGTGGGTTAGCATCCTGGGTGTGGACCTATACCACTGGTCAGCTATGCTGCAGTGTTAACCCACATATAAAGTGGAAGAAGATTGGCACAAATCTTAGCTCAGGGGTAATCTTCTTCAAGAAAAGAAAAGAGGAGGATTGGCAACAGATGTTGGCTCAAGGCTAATCTTCCTCAGGGGGAAAAAATTCATACAAAATATGTACTAATTGCAAAGTTCATGCTGTTTAATCTTCAGAAAACAAATACAAAAGATATATCCTTCCCCTAAAGGAGTTTGCACATTGATGGGATGCTTACGATATGGAAATAAGTAATACTAGGTATCAATGATTGATTTCCACGAGAAAAACTCATGGAATGTGGCAGGTGGAAGACGCTGATCATTACCAATGATAACAACAGTGCCTGACATGTACAATAATCAACAAGTATATTTTAAATATATGAATAAGTAACATATTTAAATTATTGTTTCTATCATGTCTATCATGTTTGGAAAAGTTTTCTATAATTGAATCTAAAATTGAATTCAGAGCACCTTCGCCTCAAAATTAAATTGAGGAAGAGATAGCTGATAAATAATATTTGATATTCACAATAATCCCATGAACTGACTCTCACTAATCATGTTTTGCAATTACATAAACTGATCCTGAGAGGTAACTTCTCTAAGATTACACAAATAAGAAATAAATAATAGAATTGAGATTCAATCTCACGTCTGATTAATTCCAAAATCAGTTCTTTTCCCACCACACCATTCCGTCTCGATATGAAGAGGTTTTTTTTTTTCAGTAGACAAGGATCTGAAGAGAATCTTGATTTTTAACTCATAGCCAACAATTTAAAGTAGATATCATGAATCTTGGGATGGCAATGAAAAAGCAGCACACAAAATTGTTATTCACCCTACATAATGGAATTTGTGAATTTCCACTCTGAGTCAAAAGTCAAAGCTTTCTTAGTGAGGCCAGAGGTATAAAAAGTATGAAAAGAGTGCATTCTTTTCCAGGATTGGAACTTTCCTGGTCTTAGTAAATGCCTGTTTAGTGATTTCCAGGAAACATTTTCTCTGCCTGAGCAGGAGGGGAGACCCTTCTGTCCATAAATTGTACCCCCAATGTAATGTGTAATTATGAATGGATCTCAAGGAAGATGCATTGTTACAAACATTACTCAGAACTAGTTCTCTTAAACCCTTTCACTATGGCTCAGCATTCACTTTTATCTGTTTCTCTTCAATGAAAATGGACCTGTACTGTAGGATCATTCCTGTCTGGTGCCAATAAAATCATAATCTCAAATTCCTGCTCAGAAAGAACTCCTTTTCATGGGTTTGTAACAAGACATTTGTGATAAAGAGAGTTAATGTGATTTTACTAAACCAAAGTAATCATCTATTGTTCTGCCTCAACTATATATTAGATTGGAATAAGGGAGAGTCACAGAGAAGAATCTGTAATTGGCCATAGGCAAAGGCAGAAAGAGGAAAGGATTAGCAAATGCTTACTCTCTCACAAAACATGAGTTGAGCATCATCTCTTTATGAGATACTGTGCAAAGGTCATAAAGATGAAAGGACATGGTTTCTTCTCTTAAGAACTTCTTAGAACAGTGGAAGAAACAAATGTATATACATATAATTTGAGCATCATGTTATAAATGCAATGATAGAATTGTAAACTCATGGATAAGGAATAATGTGGTACCTACACTGCCTGAATGCATTAGAGAAGACTTCTGGAAGAGATAATGCTTCGGCTGAGTCTTCAAATATAAGGGTAAAGAAAGGTATAGAGGGAACTTGGAATTGGATAGTAGAAAAGTCCATCAAGTGGTAAAACATCTTTCCTGAATAAAAAGAACAATAAATTTTTTTAAAAATTAATCAACCAAATTACAACTTCTCCTTATGTCTAAGCTGAGGGAATATTGGCCACACACAAGGTGACAGCAACTGAAATGAGACATCAAAGAAAAGCGTGGCAGTCTGTTTGCCTTCTCAACTACGGGAATCTGCAGCACCATCCAATAAAGGAGCCACTTTCCTGGCATCAACTCTTCCTATTGTTTCTCTCATTTCTTAAGCTCCAGCCACACGTTCTTTCTTTCTGCTACTCTGACACACTAGGCTTCATCCCTAAATCTTTGTACTTGCTATTGATTCTCCTGACTATATTTTCCAATGCTCTGTTTATATTTGCCTACATGTGATCATGTAGGCTTCAATTCCCAAGAGTCCTTCCCATCCACTGAAACTGACACATTATCATGACCCTCACTTCTGATGTTGCCAGTCACTGTCTTCCATATTGCCTGGTTTTACCTTTTCCATGGCACTTTGCAATACCTGAAATATTTGATTATCTGTTTGTTTAGATGCCTTGCTATCTAACTTCCTCCCCTAAAATGTAATGAAGGACGTTTTTGTCTTGCTTATTGCTGAATGTCCAGTTTGTAATATATTGCCCAGTGATCACATAGGTTTGATGAATGAAACATTTTGAACCAATGGTAGCAATTATTATCTCGAGATCACAGTTCTGCAACAGACCTAGAGAGCAAGCAGTGCAGAATCCAATAGGAGGACAGAGGACCTCTAGGGAGAAAATGTGGAAAGTATAGATCATTTATCATTTTGTCTCCATAAGAGGTGCTTTATAGTTCTGTGGAAGTTTGGAAAAACTAGGTACGAAAAGAAAATCAAAAATAAAGATAATCATTAACTATAAGAAAATCAAATAATAGTACAAGAAGGGAATTGCATTCACAGTATTATTCATATAATTAGTAATTAGTATTAGTAATGTTCATAGTGTTACTCATAGTATTATTCAGGTATTACTAATGATACATTCATAGTAATTTTAACAACAAATAACTATAAGAAAATATTCGAATTTAATCGTATTGTGAAGATGTGGAGAAAGAAGTTATAGTTCTTGGGAAGGGATGAAGGAATCAGTGGAAGAATTTTAATACTTTATCTTTAATAAAAAAATGCCAATCAGTCATGTCCGTGATTGAAAAAGTCAATAAACAGACATAAGCAGATAATTTAAAATAAGTTAATTACCTAAGGAAATATCAAGAATGTATCTATAACGAGATGAGGCAGGAAAGAAGTGAGATAGGAGATTACATAAACCTTGTAAAATTGTTTGGCTTTTGAAGCAATATATTTTTTACCCTAGTAATTTTAAATAATAATAACAAATAATGTCAACTAATCACATGTATATGTGTAAAAACATAGGAGAAAAAGACCAAAAGCACATTAAATCTCAAATGTGATTTCTTTGAGAGTTGGGGTATTTAATTTCTGTATTATATGAATCCACATGTTTGAATTTTGTGTAATTAAGATTGTATCAGCTGGAAACGGCTACTTTCAGCCATGGAAATAAACAACTCAACATATAGTAGTATCTTATAGAACAAAGAACATTTCTCATTCATTCTACGTTTCTGTTGTGAGTTGGTGGAGCACTTTGTGCCACATCTCCTCACTCAAGAACCCACGCTTAAATCTTAAATCTTGCTGTTTATCATGACAGAAAAAAAAAAAAAACTCACTGAAGGGTTCTTTCACCAACAATTAACTGCTTAAATGGGAACTGACACATAAATTCTAATCTAACTCATTTTCCAGAAATAGCCACACACTTCCATCTAAACCAAGGGACAAGTGTAATCCTATGATGTGTACAAAAGACAAAGAAATTAAAGTACCTGTTGAACAAAATGAATGACAAGTACAAACATTTAACTTTTGTAATAAAAATTTTATTTTTTGAATTTGGATTAAAAAAAATCATTAAAGCTTTGAAACAATGCAGTAGTCCCCTTTGGCATACCGTATTTCTCATTTCACCATCAATCCTGTCCTGTAACTTAGGAAAAAGGTCTAGGAAATGTTTGGTGACCAAAAGAATAGAGATACCTTTTAAGAAAATAAGTTTTTCCTTAACAGCTCTCTGGTTAATGCTTCTTTCACTTCTTTATTTCTAAGGCTGTAAATCATGGGGTTCAACATGGGGATTACTGAGGTATAAAATACAGCAACCATTTTCCCCTGTTCCACAGATTCCTTTGAGGGAGGTCTAAGATACATGAAGAAAAGAGTTGCATAGAATATGGTAACAGCTGTCAGATGGGAGCCACAAGTAGAGACAGCTTTGTGCCTGCCTTCTGTGGAATGAATCTTAAGAATAGAAGGAAAAATATACAGGTAGGAAATCAGGATGAAGAGGAGAGAAGTGGAAAGGTTACATCCAGCCACAACAAACATTGACATTTCTTTGTTGTAAGTGTCAGAACAAGCCAGCTTAATCAATGGTGGGTCAGCACAGTAGAAGTGATTAATTTCATTGGGGCCGCAGAAGGCTAGGTTGTAGGTCCACATGGTCTCCATCAGGCCAGTGAGCACTCCATACACATAAGGCACCGTGATGAGGGATTTGCACACACCACTGGACATTTTGCTGCCATAAAGCAGAGGGTTGCAGATGGCAATGTACCGATCAAAGGCCATCACAGCCAGGATATAGATCTCCACATGGACCAAAGCAATAAAAAAGTAACACTGCACCAGACAAGCAGGATAGGAAATGGTTTTCTTCTCTGATAAGAAAATCTCCAGCATCTTTGGAGTCACACTGGAAGAGAAACACAGATCCACAAAGGATAAGTGTCTCAGGAAAAAGTACATGGGTGTGTGGAGACGGGCATTGACCTGGATGAGTATAATCATGCCAAGATTCCCTGCCACTGTGGCCATGTAAATGGCCAGAAACAGCAGGAAAAGGGGAATCTGCAATTCCAGGCGATTGGTCAGTCCTAAGAGAATGAACTCAGTCACTGAGGTGAAGTTTCTTCTCATAATTTCCTTCAATGAAAAATGAGGACTTTGGATCAGTATATATTGTTTTTTTTTAAATGGCAAAAAAATTTTATATTTTCTTATGACATGGTTTTGTGTGTGTGGGGGGGTGAGGGTTGTGCTTTTTTCCCTTTCATTTTCTGTGACTCTTTTGTTCCAGGAGATGCTGGTAGTGGTTTAATTAAAACAAGTCCATCTGGTTCTGTATCTTACTCACTAGTCAGCTTCAAGTCTTTTCCTTTTCTAATTGTCCTTCTATTTCTCTTTGTCTATTTCTCTTTTTAGTTTCCAGCACTATATTTCTTACCCATCTCTATTTCTGCTTTGTCTTTTTTCTACATTGTACTTAGCCTTACATTATTTTTTTATCCCAGAGTTTGCACTCAGTGCCAGTAAAAAATACTCACCACTCATCTAAATGAATTTACCAGATAACTTAGTCAGAAGTTGAGACCTTGTACAAGAAGCTCTTTTTCTGATAACAATTATTTTCTCCAAGCCATACCAGATAAAATCCATTAGGTTCTTTGTAAAGGGGCAGTAATTGATAATTTAAAAGATACATATTAATTGATTCTTTGTAAGATGTAAAAGGTCATTGCTTCCTATTTTAGAATGGCTAGATGTTATTTTGTGGAAACAAATGGAAGAAAACAGAAATTTTTGAAAAGTTGAACAATTGTATATCTTTTATCATGAATGGGAACCAATCAAGTATACAGGAAAGCTTGCAAGAAGTCTTCTAATGTTTTTCCACTTAATTCAATAAATTTTGTAGAAGCTAATTTTTCAGTCCATTAGACCTGAATTAGACCAAGGAAATAACTTAATCCAGCTGGTTCATCAACAGTTGTGAAAACAGATTGACGAGCAAAATCGTAGCATAGAGCCACAGACTGGATTTGACAGAACCTGAACTAGAAGTAGTACCTGCCTCATATCCACATTAGTGCTTGCTCCATGAAACCAGAGTTGGTCTTTGTGAGACAGTGCCTAAAAAACAAAATAAAGCCAAAATAAACACAATAAAATAACTGCAAAAATATTCCTTTTCACTGCTTATTGTCAATCTAGATTTGCTACAACCAAACAGTAGGCTCACTAAAAGAATGTGATGAAACACAGTGTGCCATTTTTATCTATCCCTTTCCAGCATAGGCTTGTCCCCCACTTCCACTTTTCTGCCTCCCACTCACTGTAACATGGATGTAGTGCTGATCCATCCTTGACCTTATGGATGAGATGGCAGAAAAATAAGAGTCAATAAGTCAAAATTCCTAAAATTGTGGCAACACTGAACTGACATACCAGCTCAGAATTTTAAATGAGAATTGAACTTCTGATTAGTTTTATTATTTTGTTTTGGTCTTGCAGAAATTGAAATCCTTGTCCAACTGATACAAACCTAGTAGATCAATTCTCAAAAAGAAAAAAAAAAAAGATCAGTGCTCAGGATTACTATAATGCTGACTATTATATAAGTAAAACTATATCAAGTGATGATTATTTAGAATTTAATGAATCCCTCAGAAATTATGCCCAAGGATGATGCTATGACTTAAAAATTATGATGGTAATGCTTAGATAACCCTGATGTTAACCTCTTGAGATCCTTTAAAATTGTCTCAAAACTCCTTTCCATCCATTCCATGTCACTTAGAAACCAAAATCTTCATAAATACACACACACAACACATTGCAATTCTATGAAATGCAGGTAAAAGATAGCATTTGCTGCAAAAAAGAATAAAAAATTAAATTTAAATATTAGACACATTTATTCTTTAAATTCCCCTCTTGAATCCTAACCACAGAGGATTTTTCCACAGTCCATTTTACAGTTCTTAATAACTAGTTGAATAAGACATCTCTCATTTCTCTTATTTCTTCCTCCTTCCTATTTCTCACCTTTATCTCTTCTTTCCTGAAATGACTTCAGGAATTCCATATTTTCCTCTCCATGTTATTATGAGAAGCTCACCTTTTGCTTCAACGTCTGTGCATGTATTTTCATGTGAGTTATGTGTCTCACTACCCGTTTCTCATCTCCTACCAGAGAATACTGAAACATCATGGTGTACCCTTCTATGTCTTCATGCCCTATTCTTATATCCTGCCTTCCTTAAAAATGTTCTACCAAGGTAACTTTGAGTTTTGCAAAATTTTAATTTTGTGCTAAAATGTTTCTAGTATCCTTCATACTGATATTCATCTCACAAAATCAATGCATAGGTTTGGAACTAGGCAGATTGGATTTGAAAAATTACAGCTGTGTTACATATTGTCTCTATAATTGCACACAACTTAAACTTTATGAGCCTTGGTGTTCTCACTTTGAAAATGTTGTCTCAGGGAATTTCTCTGAGGATTTTAGAAGTTATAATGTATGTAAATATCTGACCATGTACGAGGCATATAAAGACATCACAAGAAATTTTTAGTTTCTACACTCCCTTTCTTTAATGTTTAGAAGAAATAAAAATTCCCAAATCATGAGCATTGGTACTTTTCATAAAATGATCCCTAATCTTTTTTTTTTTTTTAAAGATTTTATTTTTTCCTTTTTCTCCCCAACGCCCCCCGGTACATAGTTGTGTATTCTTTGTTGTGGGTTCTTCTAGTTGTGGCATGTGGGACGCTGCCTAATCTTTTATATCTAATAGCTTAACTATCTCTGATCATGTACTTACTCCTATCAAAGAAGAACTTGGATTCCAAGTATTGACTGTTACTAACACACACAAAATAGACAGCCGTACCTATAAGAAGTAGAAAAATCAACAGGCCTTCAAAAATAATGTGATGGAATTCTTGCTTGTGTTTATAAGACTTTTTCCTTTTCCCTAAGGCATTTTAAAAAAAATCATATTAAGCAATCAATTCTGCCAATTAAGATTTCCTGAAGTAGCTCAGGGACTTTGAATTTGGAATTTTGGAATGGCTTACACATCTCTTCTGCAGTTTCTTCTTCATCTCGTTTGGTAATGACCTTGCCTACTGCTTGCCATGCATTGCTGGGCACCATTCTCTTTCACTACCTCCATTATTCAAAAGAGCCAAATTCAAAAGAAAGTAAGTTACTCATTCATTTTACTGGCCACAAATGCAGCAATACCATAATCCACCAGATGGTATCATTACAGTGATCACAAATTCATTAGGAAAAAATTGGTATTTTTATGGGTTCTTATTTTCAATGTTTTTGTTTTTATTTAGAAAAGTCCAAGGGCAAATGAAAGCAACTGAAGAAAGCTAAATTATGCATACAATTTACTTTCCCTTCCTAGGCCATGATGCAATTCGTATAGTTGGTGAATTTCTTATTGGTCAAGTGATTTAATATATTTGATTAATAAATTAACAAACTTTTATTAAACTCAACAGACTGAACAATTTTTTCGGGTAGAATCTCATTAGAAACTAATAAAAAGAATCTTGGGTTAACATTGTTAAACCCATTTCACAGCTGAAGGAATTGATCCTTAGAACGATAATCAATTTTCTCAAATTCAGAGAGCTGCTAAGTGACCCAGCTGAAATGAGAAAGTAGATTGATTACCACTCTCTCATCTTTAGCCACTTACATTCATGGATGTCTTTAAAGTTACTTCATCGCATTTCTTCAGATGGATTAAACATCATCTCATTTTATGAGTGGATTAAACATCCACTACAATAAATCAAAAATGTCCTTGCTCTCCAGCTTCATGGAAGCAATTTCTAATAAATACATTACAACATTTGGATAGAAAGAGAACTAAGTAAAGTGGGTCTAGTTCCACTGAGTAATTTTGTTTACATAGGCTAGTCCATTAGTTTCAGGTAAATTAACCTCTTTCAGCTTCTTCATCATTAAAAATATGAGTATGTGTATTCTAGGTCGCTTCCAATTCAAATACTCTACCTTCCCAATATCTTAATCTCAATAAAATTAAGAAAATCTAGATAATGTTTCAAGCAGTTTAGGAGACAGGTTTTTTGTTTGTTTGTTTTTCTAAGAGTTTAGTGGAACTCAGCTTCTGCTCAGCAATTTGGGAGATAAGGGTTATTTCTCAACATACACTTCAAGACCTTGATAGCAAAGAATTGGGCAGTGCAACACTAAATCGGTACAGAAACAGGGCCCTGAAAAGATTGTAAGGGAATAGAAACAGATAAATAGCCAATTTATATGGTTCTCCTAAATCCAATCCTTAGATGGAAGCAGAGAGCTAGCAATCTCGCAGAAGGAATAATAAGGGCTTGGGAAGAAGAATCTCATTTGCCATATTGACAATCGTGGTTATTCATGCACTGTATACCTTGGCTAAAACAAGATCACTGCTCTTAACAGCATCCTTGTCTCTCAGGAACAGTTGAATAAGAACTAGAAATCATATAGCTTTCATGACATTTCTCAGGTTAAAATACGTTGATGGGTTCTATCTATATCAAATTGTCTAAATATGCTAACAAAGCGTTCGTTTCCCTCCTCATCTGATCCAGTTTACTATTTAGTTTCATCTTTTCTCAGTTTCATGATTGATATCCCAGTCACAAACAATCTATTCTATTTTGATTAGCTGTTTCCCGCTTTAGGAAATGCCTTTGAACCCATCCTCTACCCTTTGAAATTTTACTCCACTTCTGAACACCAGCTCACTGGTCACCTACTCTGGGAGAACTACCTTAAAATCCTTAGTCAGAATCAACTTTTTCCTCCTCTCTGCTCATAAAACAATTTAAAAAATACTTCAGCTGTTTCTCTTATCATAGCAAGTCATGATAAAATAGCTGTGGAAGTTTCTCTATAAATAAGCATCACTCTTCATAGGCAGTAGGTTTATATTTAATCATTGTTAAAACCTACAGTGCTTTGCCCTTGATAGACATCAATAACTATGTGTTGAGTTTAGTTAAATTAACATGTGACCTAAAACATATGAAGATATTTCTATCAGTTGAGGTGTGAAGCAAGAGGCAACTTGTCCTCAACATAGTCTTGCCCAAGTGAAAAATGC